TCTGCTTCTTCTTCTTTTCTTCTTCTTCTTCTTCTTCTTCTTCTTCTTCTTCTTCTTCTTCTTCTTCTTCTTCTTCTTCTTTAAGATTTTATTTATTATGTATACAACATTCTGCTTCCATGTATATCTGCACACCAGAAGAGGACACCAGATCTCATAACGGATGGTTGTGAGCCATCATTTGGTTGCTGGGAATTGAACTCAGGACCTCTGGAAGAGCAGTCAGTGCTCTTAACCTCTGAGCCATCTCTCCAGCCCCAAGGGCAGCTTCTTCTTAGGCCAGAGATGAGGCCGGAGCAGCGGAGCAGAGCTTCCGGGACAATAGTATGGCCTGGGGTTTTTCTGGAGCTCTGACTCAGTGGATTAGTAATAGCATTTGACAAGTGTTCGGGATCTCTTTATATGTCTGTTGTCGTTGGCTAACAGTAGATATTAGCTGGCATAACCGTGTGTGGCTTCCCCTGACCCTCCTTTCTGTGTCTAGCCTTCTTGAAGGAAGAAGTACAGCGGGCTGGTCTAACACTGCCCCCACCTGAGGGGGCACTGCCAGCACCACCTCCCCGAGAGCTGCTTCGCATCCAGGAGGAGACAGACCGCCTGGCCCAGGAGCTTCGGGATGTTCGAGGCAACCAACAGGCACTGCGGGCCCAGCTGCACCAGCTGCAGCTCCATTCAGCCGTGCTGGACCAGAGCCACGGACCCCCGGTCAGCCCCAGCCAAAGCAGGGATGGGGCAGGAGACAGATATGCCAGGCCCAACCTGGGCTGGGGCTCACAGTGTCTCTTGGTGCCCAGATGGCGGCTGCCCACACGGAGGGACCCTCCTCTGAGAGAACACCCCTGCTTCCAACCGCTCGGGGGCCACATGCAGACCTGAAGGTCAAGTGAGTGGGGTGATTTGTCTTTTCCTCTCAGCCAGACAGGATGTCCCCTGAGTCTCTGCCTTGGGAACTTCCCCAGGGGTGCTTCCTGCTGAGGTGGGTGGGATGGGAGGCTGCAGCCACACTCCAGCCCTGTCGCAGCTTTGTGGCAGGTGCTGTGGAGCCCTACAAGGCTGCTGCCCTTGAGCGCCTGCTCTGGAGAGCCTGCCGCGGCTTCCTCATTGCCAGCTTTAGGGAGACGGAGGGGCAGCTGGAGGACCCTGTGACAGTGAGCTGGCAGGGGGCAGGATGGGGGCGGTTTGGGAGGAGCCAAGGGCTCCAGGGATCAACTAAGTCTGACTCCCTCAGGGTGAGCCTGCAACTTGGATGACCTTTGTCATCTCCTACTGGGGTGAGCAGATTGGACAGAAGATTCGAAAGATCACCGACTGGTAAGCCACATGTGTATTGTCACTTGGCCTTTGCAGGGGTCCAGGCCCTAGCGGCTACATTAGGCTCCCAGATATATGTTGCTGGCCCTGTGTATCCCAGGCCCCTGTCGTCACCTTCACCAAATTTGTCCTGACCCCAGCTCTGCCTGGTGGCTCCCTCAAAACCCCATTATCCCTCCAGCTTCCACTGTCATGTCTTCCCTTACCTGGAGCAAGAAGAAGCCCGGCGCGGGGTCTTGCAGCAGCTGCAGCAGCAGAGCCAGGAGCTTCAGGAGGTGAGCACCCACATGGCTTGATCCCTGTGGGCTCCCTCACTGCCCCTCTGATTACCTTTTTTGGCCCTAGGTTCTGGGAGAAACGGAACGATTCCTGAGCCAGGTGTTGGGCCGGGTGCAGCAGCTGCTCCCACCAGGGCAGGTGCAGATCCGCAAGATGAAGGCCGTGTACTTGGCCCTCAATCAGTGCAGTGTGAGCACCACACACAAGTGCCTCATTGCAGAGGTCTGGTGTGCCACGCGGGACCTGCCCACCCTCCAGCAGGCGCTACAGGATGGCTCAGTGAGTACACAGGCTGTCAGAGGCTCGCTCTCTTCCTGCCTTTCCTCCTTCTGCTTCCATTCCTTCCTCAAGCTTCCAGTACCTCACCTTTGCCCTGGCTTTGGGAGAGGGGGGTCCCTTTCCTAGATGCCTTTTTCCCCAGGGCATTACCCAGATGGCCCTGGTCCCATAACCTCCCTCCTCTGATTTCCCAGAGACTCTGTAAGCTACACAGATAATTATAAAGTTGCACTTCCAAGGCAGTGGTTATGTGGCTTGAGCCTGTTAGGAGCCTCAGGCCCCTTACCAAGTGCAACGGTGATGCACATGGGGACATTGTAGCACGCACTTGATGGTGCAGAGTTAGATCTCTGGGTTGGGGATGGTTGGGGATGAGAAAAGGCACACTTTCCTTTTGCAAATGCCCCAGATTTGGACAGGGTGAGGCTGACCAACCTCCTCCATGCCATCCCATCCCATCCTCAAAAATTGCCATGTATGATCTCATGGGTGGGGGCTCCAGGATTTCTGATGCCTCCATCATCAGCGTCTGTCTCTCCACTGGGCACTCCAGAGCGAGGAAGGAGTGAGTGCTGTTGCTCATCGCATACCCTGCCGGGACATGCCTCCAACACTTGTGCGGACCAACCGCTTCACCGCTAGCTTCCAGGGCATCGTGGATGCCTATGGTGTGGGCCGCTACCGAGAAGTCAACCCTGGTGAGAGCCACTGCACCCTCTGTCTGTGTGGGCCGCTACCGAGAAGTCAACCCTGGTGAGAGCCACTGCACCCTCAGTGGGGGCCAGTCTTCCTACGCTCTGTCTGGGTCTCAGAAAAGCCCTTTTGCCTTTGGGACACAAACCTTGAGAGGGGTAGCAGCTGGGCATGCAGAGCCAGGCAGGTATGCATAGAGAATTCCAGGATAGCCAGGACAACACAGAGAAAACCTGTCTGGAAAAAAAAAAAAAAAAACCAAGCCAAAACAACACACACAAACAGAAAACAATAGCAGTCAGGAGGGTCACTTCAGGAGTTCAAGACCATCCTGGACCACTCAGCAGCTGTTCTAGCTTTAAATAACTGACTGCAGGTGGAACTGCTACACCGATGTCCACAGCCTGTTACCTGCAGGCCTGCCGTGACCCTGCCAGATGGCACTGAGAGCTCCATTGGGGAGCTGAAATGGCAAGCAAGACGGTGCAGATGACACTGTGGGCTCTGCCTGTTGGCAAGTGTCCTTGCCTCACAAACGCTGTCTTGACAGATCGGGGGGGGGGCACTCTGTGTCAAGGCCCCATGGGAACCTGCCTGACTGTATCCTGTCTACCTACAGCTCCCTACACCATCATCACCTTCCCCTTTCTCTTTGCTGTGATGTTTGGTGATGTGGGTCACGGACTGCTCATGTTTCTCTTTGCCCTGGCCATGGTCCTCACTGAGAACCGGCCATCTGTGAAAGCTGCACAAAATGAGGTATGTGCCATCCATACCTGGCAGGGACGGCATAGGACACAGAATTGAGCAGCCTCTCATCACCTCGCCCCCTCCCCCCCAGATCTGGCAGACCTTCTTTGGAGGTCGCTACTTACTCCTGCTCATGGGTCTGTTCTCTGTCTACACTGGCTTCATCTACAATGAGTGCTTCAGCCGTGCCACTACCATCTTCCCCTCGGGCTGGAGTGTGGCTGCCATGGCTAACCAGTCAGGCTGGAGGTAGGACCTATATCCTCACCCACCCAGGGCCCCTGGCCCACTGTGCAGCCCTGACATCATCTGTTATCACTGCAGTGACAAGTATCTGTCCCAGCACCCCATGCTCACCCTGAACCCCAACATCACCGGTGTCTTCCTGGGACCTTATCCCTTTGGCATTGACCCGGTAAGTAGGGCCACACTGGTACATGTAAGTATTGGAGGCAGTTGGGAGGCTGGCCAGGGCTCCATAGCTCCATCGGTTCACTGACCCCTTTGACAGTTGGCACTGAGCACTCCCTGTGTGTCAGGCCCCATGCTAGGCCTGGCTCACAGGCAGAGAGGCCTGTAAAAATAGTATCCAAACTGAGTATAATGGTGCACAAGTTAATTCAAACACTTGGGAGGTGGGAGGCAGGAAGATTCAGATTCAAGAGCATCCTTGGCTTCATAGAAGTGTTCAAGGCCTGCCTGGGTTACATAAAACCCTGTCTCCAAACAAACAAAACCCCAGAACAGAACAGCAGCCCAGTACTTGTGAACAACTGGTCCAACTGACAGTCCTACAGACATCCATTAGCATTATCCCACTACACAGATGAGAGTGAGGCGGAGGCCTGGGTGCCTGAGGCACTCAGCTGGGAGGAACCGAGCTTGAGCCCTGGTCACCTGAAACTGACCTGTGAGAGCAACTGTTCACTTCCTTCTGTTGCCCCTTAGAACTAGTGACTAGAGTGCTGTGATTAGGTTTGTCAGGGAGCAAGAAGTTGATGAGAGAACAATGGGTGTTGTCCTGGCAAAACTAACCATGGTGTCCCTGGGTTGAGTGCCTACCTGTCCCACTACCCCAGATCTGGAGCCTGGCCACCAACCACCTGAGCTTCCTCAACTCCTTCAAGATGAAGATGTCTGTCATCCTCGGAGTCACCCACATGGCCTTTGGGGTGTTCCTCGGTATCTTCAACCACATGTGAGCCCAGAGCTGCCAATGGGTATGGGCAGTGTCCTTGTGAGGCCAGAGTGCTCTGTGACCTGTCTGTTCCCACAGGCACTTTGGCCAGGCACACCGGCTCCTGCTGGAGACCCTACCTGAACTCATCTTCCTGCTGGGCCTCTTTGGCTACCTTGTGTTCCTCATTGTCTACAAGTGGCTGAGGGAATCAGCTGCCAGTGCCTCCACAGCTCCCAGTATCCTCATCCACTTTATCAATATGTTCCTGTTCGCCCAGAGCCCCACCAATCAGCCACTCTTCCATGGGCAGGTAGGCCAGGGAAAGAGTACAGAGCTCAGACCCTTTACTGGGGACTCCCACTTCAGTCACTGGGCCACCTGGAACTCCAGAGCCATCTGAGAAATAGGTTGTGGGCCAGAATCCCTGCACACAGTGATGTTAGAAGGCGTTGGTGGCGCACGCCTTTAATTCCAGCACTCGGGAGGCAGAGGCAGGTGGATCTCTGAGTTCGAGACCAGCCTGGTCTACAAGAGCTAGTTCCAGGACAGCCTCCAAAGCCACAGAGAAACCCTGTCTCGAAAAACAAAAAAAAAAACAACAAACAAACAAAAAAGAAGTGATGGACTAAAGCTTGGCGCATAGATTGGTCATACAGGGGGTGTTAGGAACCTGAAGCCTCTTCACCGGTCCTTGATAGTAAAGGGCCTTGGGGAGGGACTGCAGTTCCCTGGGTTCAATGTGACCATACCATGTGTCTCATTGCATGCAAACACTTGTGTGGTTGCCTTGCCCTCCTTGCCCGCAGGAAGTGGTACAGTATGTGCTGGTGGTCCTGGCTTTGGCAACAGTTCCTATCCTGCTGCTGGGCACACCCTTGTACCTGCTGCGGCAGCACCGCCGCAGAAATACTCAGAGAAGGCCAGCGGGCAGAGAGGTAGAAGTACAGGGAAGGAGGGCCGCATGGGAGGTGCTCCTTGCTTCCCTATAGGTTTCATGCTGCTGGGGTGGCATGGGCTGCCTCTGGGACTGGAGCTTTTGGTGCTACCTACTCTCAGGACAAGGACAGTGACAAGCTTCTGGCCTCCTCTGATGCTTCTTCCACCTCGGTGAATAGCTGGAATGCTGATGAAGAGAAGGCTGGGATCCCAGGGGATGAGGAGGAAGCTGAGGTGGGTCGGTCTGTGCCGTACTTCCTCGTGGGGGGAGGGCTGCCAGTCTTAGCTATTGTCTCATGGCCTCTTACCACACAGTTTGTCCCATCTGAGGTCTTCATGCACCAGGCCATTCACACCATTGAGTTCTGCCTGGGCTGCATCTCCAACACAGCCTCCTACTTGCGTCTCTGGGCCCTGAGCCTAGCCCATGCCCGTGAGTAACCTTTCTCTTGGGCCTCATGCCTCACCCTGTCAAATTGGGTTCCCCATAGAGGTACCTCACCAACTCCAGGAAAGGTTGAAGGATGCTACTGAGGGTGGGGATGCTGACAGGCATTCCCCCACCTTTGGTCCCACTGTCCCCTTGTTTGTATGCAGAGCTCTCTGAGGTCCTGTGGGCCATGGTCATGCGCATAGGCCTGGGCATGGGTCGAGAGATGGGTATGGCAGCTGTGGTGCTGGTCCCTGTGTTTGCTGCCTTTGCTGTTCTGACTGTGGCCATCTTGCTAGTGATGGAGGGGCTCTCAGCCTTCCTACATGCTCTGCGGTTGCATTGGTGAGCACACCTGTACTGAGCCTGGGCATGGAGGGAACGGGTGGTAATTCCCCTCACTGGTCCCTTCCTCACACCCAGGGTGGAGTTCCAGAACAAGTTCTACTCAGGTACCGGCTACAAGCTCAGCCCCTTCACCTTCACTGTGGACAATGAGTAGCATCTACTATGATTCCTGCCTCCCCAGATCAAGAAAGAAATAAAGAACTGGCTGGCCCAGGAACTTTGCCTTGGTCCTCTCTGGGATACAGGACTGGGCTGACACTACAACAGTCAGGGCTCCGGGCTCCGAATATGCTATATACTTAGACCATCCTTCAGCTGAGGTAGAGGGTGGGAAGCACTGGTCTAGGACCTAAGCCTTTTAGAAGTTGCTGTGAGAACCCATGAACACATCAGCAGACTTTTGGAAAGAGTTAACGCTAGGATCAAGAAGGGACTTTCTAGTTTGGTGGGAGTGGATTCCAGCCAGGTAGGATGAAGTGTACAAACTGGCTTTGACTTTAGGCCCTGCCTCTTTGAAATCCTTAAGGAGTGGCCTTTCATTCCCTCTAGCTGGGAGGCAGATACAGCCAGTGCATGTCAGAGACCAGAGACCCTGTTTTCCAGCCAAGTTACAAAGTTGTTAGTGCAGCTGAAGACACCAGCAACAAAGGCTGCTTTGAGGCCAGAGATGCTCCCTGGGCACAGCTAGTCACAATGGCCCTGGCCAAGCTTCATGGAGGGGTGTGGACTGTTTGAAGATCTCTGAATGCAGGGAGGGAATAGCAGGGTCTTTCAGATAGTTTCACATGCTTCGCATATTAAGCTAAGAGAAATGTAAGAGCTGGGCAGGAGTTGTGGAGGGTCCCCAGGAGACACCAGTAGGTCTAGTGACACTTGCCTGCCTGGACTGGCAATTCCAGTTGCCATGGGAACAGTATGCCATGGTACCTGGCAAGCACTGTCCTAGCAATCATCCCCACTAAAGGATGAGATCAGGCCAGGATGGATCTCATCCCTGCTCATTTGGACAGGAAACAACTAAGTAAGCCAGTCAGATGTTCTGGAAAGGCTCATCACATGAAGAACAGGAAACACCAGGCAGGGAGGGTACAGGGCTACAAAGGTGATTTGAGAAAGGCACTGTGGCAAATGGGAAGATTTAGGAAAACATGAGGGTGGTTAAGAACCTGTACTGCTCTTGCAGAGAACCTGGGTTTGGTTCCCAGTACTCACATTGGGAGGCTCATAGTTACCTATGACATCCTACTCCTCTGACCTCTTGAGACACTTGCACTCTTATGCATGTAACCCTCCCCCACCATATAATTAAAGATAAGAAAATCATGAGGGGTAATCAAGCAGATGGTGAAGGAGCCTGTTATTTGTGGATCACCAGGCAAACAGAGTCAACTGGCATCAAGCCACTATGAGACTGAGGACAAGCAACCACAGTCACTTTCATTCTATGCTTCAGCAGAGAGTTCCAAGAGATGCTAGTGTTCTTGCTGAAATTTTGGTCAGAGCAACAGGAACAACTGCAGCTTCCTCTGCTGCTGCCTAGGCCTTAACTCCTGGTGAAGCTCTTAGGGTTACAGATCCTAGGGACCTTTGCTATCTGGGGCCATACTATCTGGTGGCACAGAGAATGAGGTGTGAGGAGGAAGATACCCACTAGTCACATGGAAGGCGCTGACACATGCAGGGTAACAGCCCGAGGATGGTTTTCAAGTTGTTTATTTTTTCTGTATAATACAGTCTTAAAAGAAGCAGAAATATGTGCACAAAACAATTCAGAGTAAAAAAAAAAATTCTAAGTTTATCCCATTGGGCATTTAATGTACATGGATTTCACAGCTCTAGTCCACCTGCACCCCTATGTCCCACAAACAGCTGCTGTCTCCCAGTGACACCAGATGGGAAGCAGCTTTGGAGAGTCCTGGGCAGATGCCCAAGTTCCAGGCCAGGCAGAGGGAAGGCAAGAAAGGCTGAGGAAGCTGGCTCCACTGCTCCTCTCCAGTTAGGACCCTGACGTTGTGCAGCCAGTGACACTGGTCCAAGTAGCCATACGCACACGGGCACAGGAGGGCTACAGCTACTTTCTGCAGATGTACACCACAGCTCAAGTGTACCCTGCTTCTCCAGGAAGTCTGCCCATACACAGACCCCATGACTCAGGCTCATCCCGCTGAGCCACTTGACAGTATGTCTGCTCACTTGCCCTTCAGAAGCATCTCCTACACTGTCACAAATGTGTTGCAGCACATTAATATCCTAAGACAGCGCTTGGAGTATCCAAATGGCACTGCTCTGATGGCTGGGGCCCTATGTGGCTGAAAGCTGGAGCCATGCAGCCAAAAGGCCTCCAGGTTAGGTGGGTTCTGAGCTATTGCACTATTGTACTATATTTCTGCTTCCAATCATGGTTCAGAGTCCTAGTGAGAGCGTAAACAAAGATGAAAGAAATGTTACTCCACTTTAATATAGTCTGTAGTATCATACACATCGGTGCTCAGTAGTGAGACGTCCAGGCCTTCTGCCCAGGGCAGTGGTCACAGCAACACTCTACCGAGGGCCTGGCGCAGCCGCCTCCTGCAGTTCAGTGGTGAAGAGTGGAGTCATCTCATTCACACCCCAAGCTTCCTCTTCTGGTCAAAGTAGGCATCAAACCTGGCTTGGGCATATTCCTGGGAGACAGCAAAAACAGCAGCTCACTATGTAGCCAGGCGGACCTGACCTTGAGACTTGTGCCTCCACCTCTAAGTGCCTAGACTGCTGCTGTGGACCACCATGCTGGCTGAAGTCTGTCTATCTAATAGTATCAACTGATCAAACCAGATGTTTAAAATTAATTTCATTTGTCAGGGAACTCACGCCACTTGGAACAGTCAATTCTCGTCCCACAACATGGGTACTATATACTAGATTTCAGGAGGATTGGTGGCAGTTACCTTTGCCTGCTGAGCCATCTTGCTGAGTCCCAAATCTGCTTTAAATATTCAAATTTCTCCTGTCTTTGCTTGATGGCATCATTACCAAACCTCCCACCTAAAGTAGAGTCACACTCTAGTACAGGTGTCACCTGTCCCAAGAAAGAGTCCATGTCAAGAACAGATAGTTCTAATATTAGAGCAGATGATGGCCTGACTTACAACAATGGTGCCAGCCTCTAACCTGAAGCTGGGTATTACAGGCTGGAGTATGGAGTACTGACAAGAATATAGCCTAATCATGGGAGGTATCACCTTCCTTCACTTAGTGTTCCTTGTGTCAAAAGGGGCTGCAGTTTAGTGGACAGACCAGTCCAGATTTCTCTCTGCAGACTGCAGACCCAGCTGGCACTCAGCTGAAGCTGGCAAGCAGTACTATGGTCCTAGAGTGAGGCAACGGTAACATCAGCAAGAAGGGCTTTCAGGGTTACACTAACCCAGCGCTGCCAGGTCACCAATTCCCCCTCCATGCATTCACACACAACAGCTCTGCCTTGAAGCTGAAAAACATTGCTCCTGAAACATACCATGTACCCAAATTCAATGGATGAAATCTTGGCCTGTACAATGGACCAAAGTCCCCAGAGGAAATGGGAGGCGAGGGCAAATCTGTAATCACAAAAGTGAGAAGCACATAAGCCATCTGAGATCAGTTATAAGAAGTCATGCCATACCAATGGCCATGCTACTAGGCATCTCTCTTATGCACTAAGTGCTGTGCGGGCCCTTTTGTGGGACTGTATGTGAAGGGACTGGATGGACCCTTCCCACCTGACATGGGAATGCTTACTGGTGTGAATACACCCAGCTGCCTGGCCAGAGCACACAGAACCCTGGAGTGGCCATGTTCTGCTACAAGAGAGTATACAGAACCACAAGCTGACAGCAGCTCCTGAAACCCTTCCCTATGCACTCGGCAGGAAGCTGCTCCCTATGCAGGAGGCTTCTCCAACTCACACCTTCCTCTCCTGTTAGGACAATAACAGATGAGTAGAGCCACGTCACCGTCTCCAGTCTCAGTAGAAAACCACATGCCAAACCCCACTGACTGGGAGCAGCTTTACTTACCACCACCCAACAAGGAAAAGCTTACCTGTTGACCTCAAGCAGCATGTCTTCTTTTGTAGCGGACTGCTCTTCACTACTGAGGCTTGCAAAATCATTCTGGAATGCAGCCAAGTAACTGGAAATAAAATGAAGCTAGAAAAGAACTGACTGTGTTAGGATGGATGATGGTTAAAGCAAACACTAACAGCTACTACAAACATGCCTATCACACAGCTGCCACACTGCCTTTATGCTGCCAGAGTGAGAACAGCAAGGCCATAGTGACTTCTGACCCTGACCCAGGGGATCCAATGCCCTCTTCTGGCCTCTGTAGGCACTGTATACACATAGTGAACTGATATTCATGCAGGAAAAAAAAAACACCCTTACACATAAAAAATTCAAAACAAGAATTCCAGAAGGTCACACATTTATCTATAACAGATTAAAGAAAAAAAAAAAAGCACTATTATTACCTCAACATACACAGAGCTAATTCTGACAGGGCCCCACACTCACACCATCTTTTTATTTATTTATTCATTTATTTATTTATTTATTTGTGTGGTGCTGGGGATCAAATCCATATTTATTTATTTATTTATTTGTGTGGTGCTGGGGATCAAATCCAGGGCTCTGCACAGTTGGTCAAGCCCTCTCTTACTGAGAGACATCCCCTGCGTCATCTCAAAAGCTCAGAAATTGTAACTAGAAAGCAACTTCTTTAAGTTTGCACACTGTTCTACAGTTTTAGCATTGTCTTTTGTTGTTGTTTTTCAAGACAGGGTTTCTCTGTCTTGCTTTGGAGCTTGTCCTGGAACTTGCTCTGTAGAACAGGCTGGACTCGAACTCACAATCCCTAGTGCTCGGATTAAAGGCATGCGCCACCAACACCTGGCTAATTTTAGCACTATCTTTGACCACCACAATCTGTCCCTAGCTGGCACTTCCTCCCAGCTGTTCTGACAGCTCTGAACTCTGGAGCTATCCACTCTATGGGTCCAATTTCTCTTTCACCAAGCCTAGACCCAATGCTGTCACCTGTGCTCTGCTCCCCAACTCCAAGCAGACCCACTATCCCCTATTCCTTCCTGCTACTCACAGAAGCTTGGCTTCCTGCCTGGCTTTGGACATATTCAGGTTTATCCCCAACAGCCTTAAAATGTGACCAGGAGAGTAATGACACTTTCTGACATCTTAGCAGGCCCCCATTTGAAGGTCCAGCCCTGGACCTTAACTCCTGAAGACTCTTCACGGGGCTCTTGTTCCACAGGGGCTCAAGATGCTCCTGGACTGATCTGTAACAGTGGTGTTCACATCTGTCCTCACAGGAAGCATTCAAGCCACCATCCTGCAGCTGTGAAATTCTAGGTAAGTCTCACTCCCTGCTCACTCCCTGCCCTGCCTACTTTCAGAACCAAACCCCATCAAGCTTCCACCCAGGCTTCAGAGATGGGCTGATAAATGATACTCCCAGGAAGAAATTCCTACAAGAAATGATTCTCCACATAACCAGTAGCCCTCCTGAGATTCAGGATGAGAAAGGAACCATTCACAGCAAAGCTTTTCCTCCAGCAACACAGGTTCATGAAATTAGCAGGATGCTCAGCCTACCCACACACCAAGGAAGTGGGGCTTTTGGCAAACATGGAGGAACCACAGGAGGCCTGACACCTCTCTGACTGAACTAGGTGTCTACAGCACAGGGAGTTACCAAAAAATGTCCAGTATGTACCCCAACATCAACAGAACAAAACTTAATTATTGCCTGGTGGTGGCAGTGCACACCTTTAATCCCAGCATTCAGGAGACAGAAGAGGCAGATCTCTATGAGTTCAAGACCAACCTGATCTACAGAATGAGTTACAGGATAGCCAGAACAGAAAAACCCTATTTCAAAAAACCAAAAACTTACTATTATTTTTATTATTAGAGATTGAACCAGGGCTTCTTACATGCTACCAAATGCTTCCGCTGATCTACATCTCTCTTTTTCTGTGATGCATGGTATCACAATCCTCTTTCACATCTTCCTAAGCAGCATTTTTAACATAAACAAAAGGGTGTTCCTAGCCCTTTTTTTGCCATAATTTAAGCAGACTTATCATGGTGTTGGGATGTGGCTGAGTAGTAGAATACT